GATGGGATGCTGCAGCTTGCTGTGGAGAACATTCCGAATAGTTCACACCATTGCTTTTCTGTTTTATGTAAAGCATTGTAGGATTGGGAAAGAAAAATGTTCTTTTCTCAAAGAATCTGAGTAGGAATTTGCAGGGTATGGAATGGAAAAAACAGGATATCAGGACAAGGGTTAGAGTAGACAGATTCTCAGCTCTGAGAAGAGCTTTATAAGAAAGAGAACTAATAGCCAGCTGGTGGGGATGGGAAAATATTGGCTCAGATGCCTGCACTGACATCAGATTGAAGTGTTTGTTGAGTTTTAGAATTGCCTTGGAATAAACACATGGGAACAAGACACCTTGCAGTAGGATTTTTGAGTTGGGGGGGCATAACCAGAAGGATGGAATATAGGGCAAGGTGTTCCAAATGAGTGCCCACAAAATTATTTGATCTATGAATATCAAAATGCTTAGTCTAAATAGAGAATTATAAAATTATAGGAAGGCTAAGTGGTGTTTAAAACAAAACAAAAAACCTTGAAGTCCTTTAGTCTCTTTTATTTCTTTCTTCCTTTGCTCGTTCCTTCCCTCCCTTCCTCCCTCCCTCCCTCTCTCCTTCTTTTTTTTTTTCCTTTTTACACAGGGTCCCTATGTATAGCCCTAACTGTCTTGGAACTCTGTGTGGACCACCAGGCTGGCCTCAAACTCACAGAGCTTTGCCTGCCTCTGCCTTCCAAGTGCTGGGATTAAAGGTGTGAGCCAGTATGGAAGGCCATTGTGTTTTCTTTTATTCTGTAATTGAAAATAGAACAGAAATACACATTTGCATTTTAATTTGGAAGGTTTTGTTAAATTTCATTGAAGTCTCTTTTAGCATATATCCTTCAGTCCAAAGAAATGATCCATTTGTTTCTTAATGTTTTTCTTAGTAGTTGGCTTGATTTTATTTCTACTAATCACCTTTATCTTTATGTGACTGAAATTTTAGTTTTTAATTTAAATCCGTATTTAGTATTTTATTCTTTATTGGTAGCAAAAATAATAAATAAGTGATTTGGTAACATATATTTAATGAAATTTAGTCTGAGTACTTTTAATTTTTTGGACAACTATCTAATATTTAAATGTATCAGCTAATTTACTATATCATATTTATGATTTTGTTGTTGTTTTGTTTTTTGAGACAGAGTTTTTCTGTAGCCTTGGAGCCTGTCCTGGAACTCTCTCTGTAGACCAGGCTGGCCTTGAACTCACAGAGATCTGCTGGTCTCCGCCTTCCAGAGTGCTGGGATTAAAGGCACCACCACCATCCGCCTTTAAATTTACTCTTATCTATTTAAAGTTTATTTCTGTAGAGGTAACCTTTACAAAGTAATAACAGGAAATAAGGAAAAGGCCTTGGCTCTCCGATCTTTTCAGCTGTGTTCTGGCCAGTCAGTCATCCATGGTACTTTATGAAAGACTTTGCAGCAAGGCAGTTTTGTCAAAATATGAACTATAGTAGGTGTTATGTTAAAAAAAATTGCATGGAAAAAATTTTGATATGTTGTGTTTAACAATGTTGGGCAGGTTTCTTTCCTGTAGACTTTCTTCGAGTTTTTAATTAAGTGCATCGGTGAATGCCCTGAAACTCCAAGGAGTAGATAATCTGCAGCCTTTCCCAAATAGCAGTGGTCTGACATCGCAACTCTGAGGACTTCCATTCTGCACAACACATGTTGTGAGACCTCAGAGGGGAATTCATGTTTTCACCATTGACTAGGGGGTTTATTAGTGGTGCATTCTCTGCGACTTATTGAACACTGATGTTCAAAGTTACTGTGTGGCATAAATAAATGTTTATACCAGCATGATTTGTGTAAAATATTACTGATTCAGAAGATTACGAATTTAGAACACACATAATTCAGCCAAACATAGATTTCATGGTCCTCAGGAGTGCCTTCCTAGGAATGCATCATCCAAATGAAGCTGAAGGAGAACAAACTGTGCGTTTCCTCTCGTAAGTGCTTATTGAAGCATTGTCGCCTGTGGGGAGGCACAAGTCTGTGGAAGTCGCTTGTATCTCAGAGAGAGCAGCCATTGTGAGAGGGAAATCTGTGCTGACGTTGGTCTATGCCAACATTGCATCGCTCTGTGGAGGTGCCAGTTCTGTGCAGCTGTTTTCCTGGCAGCAGCTGGGAAATGTAGGTTTCATGAATAGGGCTGATCAGCACTGTGTCCTAAGCCTTCTTCCTGTGTTTTTACCTAAGCTGTAATGCCAAGAATAGGGCAAAGGAATGGGGTTGTGTGTGAGATGATGAAGTGGGGGTGTGATGGGGGAAGGAAGGCCATCATCGATGATGAAAGCCCTCACAGGAAGGTCCCAGGTCTTCTGCAGCATTCCTTTAAACAGCTATAGCATACAGCAATTACAGAAACTATAATATGTTTCCTGTAATTTTGATGAAGTGAAACCAGATCTCTATGGAAACGACATGGGAATTATTTTCATTTTGAAACAGTGATGTGTTTCCTTTGGAGTCGGGGTACACAACTTTGTAGTCTCTGCTACATGGGTAGGGGGTGAGGCTGGAGGATTATTTGAGTCCAGAAGTTCTTGAGACCAGCTGAGCAACACATCAAGACTGCAACTGAAGCAAAAAGAGGGTGGGGGCTAGTGACTTTGACCAAAGTCAGCGTGGGTGTCCTAACAGCTGTTTTAGGTAGGAGAGGATTCTGTGCTGAAGACCAATCCCATTTCTTTTCTTTTTTTAAAAAAAAATATTTATTTATTTATTATGTGCACAATATTCTGCCTGTGTGTATGCCTGCAGGCCAGAAGAGGGCACCAGACCCCTTTATAGATGGTTTGAGCCACCATGTGGTTGCTGGAAATTGAACTCAGGACCTCTGGAAGAACAGGCAATGCTCTTAACCTCTGAGCCATCTCTCCAGCCCCCCAATCCCATTTCTTTAACTGATAACACTTGGGTCTTTATCTCTACAATATCAGGAAATTCTTGTGTTTGTAATTAAAAATTAATGATGTACCCTCATGAAGGCATGAAGTCACCTTGTGGGAATCCCCAGGGATTATTGGTTTAGCCAAGCTGACCGTATTTAACAGAAAAGAAGCTTTTTGTTTTGTTTGTTTTTGTGCCATAAAGATGAATCAAGTTTCAGAGTGTTGATGGAATTGCTAACAGGCCCCTGTTTTCAGAGTCTAAGGAAGATATTGAAATTTTTTTGTGGTTTCTTGCTGACTAGTGAGAGCACCCGTGTTGAGAAAGAAAGGAAGGAAGGAAGGAAGGAAGGAAGGAAGGAAGGAAGGAAGGAAG